CTTTTTAACATAAAATACTTCTTGACCTTCATTCCTTCCCTTTTTACCCTTTTCAACTCTTTTAGTTTTTCATTCTTTCATGCAAAGTCTCTATAGAAAGAATTGGGTCAGAAGCATAGGAAAGGCAGCTGATTGGTGGGTACATCTTTGCTTTTTCACTGTATAGGTCTGCTCAAAGTCCAGTGTTTATGCTTCAGATAAAATGCAGGAGATAGATGCAATACACAAAATATTTCATGAGCACCATTGCTAGAAGTTATATGTTATACCTAGAACTTGTAGAGTCCTTTACCATAACTTTGACTTTATGTTACACCTCCTAAGGGGAGCACTCAGGATTCTCCTACATTGTTATCTTCTCAGCATCCCTAGCAGAAAGGAATCGTGTTGATAGGCAACTGTCAGGTAGAACTTTTAAGTGACTAATGAAATCATTAAGTACATCAATGATAGATCCGAGAAGAGAACCAGAGTGTGCGCTCAACATGCCATACTAGCTGAACTGAATGCTACTCAGATTACACAATGTGTATCATTACCCAAATCACCTGCACACCTGACAGACTGGGGCTTAATGGACGTCTCTATTTCAACTACTCTACATTATGCCTCTCATTTTGTCAAAGGGCAATTTTAATGTAAGTAGTTACCTAGAAAGGATAAATTCTCAAAGATGTGGCCTCAACAAGTAATTTTAGATTAAGGAGATATACAATAACTAAAAGCCATTGATTAGCACTCAATTCTGGTGATGCCAGGCACAAAGCCAAAGCATTTATGAATGTGGTAAGTACTGGCACCAGTTCCTATACTTGAAGTTATTTTATTAACAACAGTACACCCTGAGTGCAGAATCTGCCTTCATTAACTTTTTTTTCTTTTTACCATTGTCATCATAAGCCAATCTTTATTGAGTGTCTACAGGATTTTGGAACTATATAATGTTCTATTTATACTTTTTTTTAAAAAAATTGACTAGTATGAAAAAGGAAAATATGAGTATTATTCCCTTCTAAAAGTACTCTATAATGGAAGAGCATGAGGACAGGAAAATAAGACACTTTCACTTTTCTTTCACTTTTTATTTTTTCTTTCGCTTTTTATTAAAAATTTACTGTGCTTCTTTTACTTATTTATTTTTTTAAAAAGATTTTGTTTATTTATTTGAGAGAGAGAGCACAAAAGGCAGAGTGACAGGCAGAGGCAGAGGGAGAAGCAGACTCCCACAGAGCAGGGAGCCGGACATGGGACTCAATCCCTGGACCCTGGGATAATGATCTGAGCCGGAGGTAGACGCTTAACCATCTGAGCCACTTAGGCACCCCTCTTCTTCTTTTTTTGATAAAATAAATGGAATAGAATTATTTCAGTCATGGGATTTGCTATTTAAATCAAATTGCTGCCTGAAATACTGAATTGGCTTCAGTAAATGATACCAGTAAAATAACATATCTTAGTGTAGCTTCATCTTAATTTATAACAGAAGCACATTCTGAAGTCCTCACATTTTTTCGTTCAATAACACTTCCATCTTGAAAAATCTGACTCTCTTGAATTGGAATTAAGCCTGTGGAAATTAACACCTCAGTTACAGCCCCAGGTAGAACCAAAGTATGGGCTTCAGGTGCCCTCTGGTGGCTGATAGATAGAACAATCAAATACAATTTAAGTCTGGAATAAACAGGCACATGTCAAATTTCATTCTCTGTTCCATTTATTTATTTTCTTTAAAAGAACTTATCAAGAATTTATCCTGTTAGGCACTTAGGATTAAAAGATAAATGGTATACAGTCTATGTCAATACAGTAGTTAATAGTGGAATGAGGGTAAAACTGACTACAGATAATTTCAACTCTCCCTGTTAAGTGCTACTACAGATTTATTCTATTCCAACCAAGATACGTTGGTTATCTCCATTCTTGTAGGTATTATGTTAATTAATATTATATAGAAATTCCTGAAAAATAAAAGCAGCTGTTTTCGACACAGGGTGTAATTCATATATTTATATAAATGTATTAAACACATAGTAAATAATTACATATTTCTAGAGTTTTTCCTAGGAGTAACTCGAATCCATATTGCTTTTATGATGATCTTATTAATAGTATTAACAGTTTTGTCATCATTTTAATTCTTGCCAGATAATATTATCAGACCTATTATGCAGCAGAGTCAGTCTTACCTGGTAATTCAGTGTCATAGATGAAACTAGAACTCAAATTGCTTGACTGTACCTGTTTGTTTTCTTGGTGGATTCATCCAATGACTTTTGTGTGGTTTCTAATGGTAATATGAAGGATTTTATGAAGTCATTGAGTAATAGGAGATAGCCATTTAAAAGAAGGGTTAAAACACACACACATACACACGCACGCACACACTGGATCATTTCCAACATCAGCTACTGAGCAGCTGTTACAGTTCTCTTAAGTTAGATGGGGCCTTTTATCAAGTTATGAAGTCACATATCCAATTACCAATTCCCAGCATCACCCAGGCCCTGGCTTGGCACTGCTCAACCAAATGATACACTCATAATGCCAAAGCAAAGTGATTACCTAAATAATTTAGTGGAGTCTTCTTTAATCCTATACAAGAGCTTATAGTAATCTTAATTAGCATTTTACTCCCCCAGTGCAGTTGTGTAACAGTAATCTATTGAATTCCTGATGTTAAGCATGGAAGGGTGCTAGAATTTTAAAGAATGTATTCCTAGTTTACATAAATCAATGATGGGAGTCAAGAAGTTGGTTTATTTGAAAGAGAACAATGGTTCTAGATGCAAACAAGACAGTCCTAAGAAGTCAAAGAAACATAGAGGTGGTGGTAGAGGTGGGCACTTTTTGGCATGATCATTTAAAACTATACTCTTTAGTATTTTCAATTGCTATACTTTCTATTCAACTTTCTTTTGTTCCATTTCAAAATATTTTGTTTTCATTTTCTCATTTTCGTTTTGAGCTTCTAAAATATCTTCATGAGCAGTTTTTGGCTTGTTTTCATATACAGTACTGTAAAATAAGAACTATTGTTACTAATATTTCTGTTGTATCATTTAAGACTGTTTCCTTTTTGATAATGGGCAACAGAACAATGAATATAACTACCATTGCTTTAAGATCATTGCTTTATAAGACATGAAACAAAAACTCTTGTGTAGGTTTTGTGATTTTGTGTGTGAGAGATCACTTTACATAATCAAGTCCAGTTGGTCCAAAAACTACACTTAAAAGATAAATTCATCAGAAAGATAAAATTGTGCCTCTGGAACAGTAAACCAAAAATTAACACGAAGTCTTTTCTCAATGATACCCAATTGTATTGTTATCTTATTTTGTGCTCCCCTAATGTTCATTCCCTTGTCCATCCATCTCCAAAAACATATCATGCGAAGTAAAAAAAAAAAAAAAAAGTCCTGTTTCCTTCCCTCCAGATGTATGCAAAGTTCAAGAACCACTGTGGTGAAATTACACACAGGCCTTTCTTACAGAAAAAAAGTGGTTGGGAATCCAAACCAAAGGAATGTTAAAATGCTTTTACAAAAACTCGAGCTGAATTTTGAAGTTAAAGTAAGAGAGAAGTAAAAGGGCTTTCTAGGTTGGTGGAGTTTTGTTAAGCATTTAGGGATGAAGTAACTGGATACTTTGGGGGACTCTTTGGAGTGACTAAGTAAATGTCAGACCTAGTGGCTATGGTCAAGCTTGAATTTTACACTGTGAACTAAGAGCCAATGGAAAATCTCAGGTAGAATAAAATGACGAGGCTTGACTTTTAGTAAGGTCACTTAGGTAATAGTGTGGAAGAATCACTGGAGGAAGCATGAAATAACTACAGCAGGAAATATTAGGAGCCCACTGCAATAATGTCTGAACTAAGGCAGTTAAGAGGGCAAAAGTGGGCCACTGACAGCCTTGCTACAAAGTGGTCCTCTCCATCAGCTGCACAAATATTGAGAGCTTGTCAGAAACAGAGAATGTTGTGCCATATCTCTTACCTTCTGAATCAGTATTTTAACATGGTAATCTGTACATCTGGAAGGTACCACTCAGAGATAGGGAACGCAGTAGGGGCAGTTACTGGAGGAAGGTAAGTCACTATCCTGGGTGTGGTCAGTTTAAGGTATTTATGGTACATCCAAGAAAGCTGATCCACAGCAGTTGGGTATAAGGGTCTGGAGGCTGGGTTGAAGTCTGGTCTGGAGAAACGATTTACCATTTATCAACAAGTTTGTATTTGAAGCCATGGTCCAACCCAAGTTCCCTGGGATCTGCCCAGGAAAAGTATATCATTAGTCAAGCAGAGGGCCCAGGAGGGAGCACTAAGAAACACCATTATTTGAAGTCCCATACAGCAAAAGGTATCCACAAGACACAGAAGGAACCTCCAGTGGTAGGAATACACAATGTGAGTAGTGGGAAGAAAGTTCCAAGTGGCAGGATGGTCAACATTCTCATTCCAGCAGAGGTCACATAAGAACACACAAGAGTCCATTGGATTTGGCAATCTTGATGTCAGAGTAAAGCTACAGGTGGAGATTATTTCCCATTAAGTTCTTTCTTGACCTTAGTATGTGGGGATGCAATTTAGAGTTTTCTGCTCTCAAAGTTCAGATGAGTAGAATATGTGAGAGGAGCTTGGTATGGAGCCAGTTTGCAAATGTTCTCTCTTCCATTAAGATGATAAATTCTTTGAGGAATAAGGAAGGCACATAAAGATGAGTAAGACCCAGTCCCAACCCTCAGCATTTATAACAAAGCAGAAATAAGACATCTGTAGTACAAGATGGGACATGTATTATAAAATATCATAGAGATTCAAAAGAGGAATACACCACATCCAGACAGTAAGAAGAGCCTGCTTACTTCTCCTCAGTTGTTAGCACAGATATATGTACATACTTAACACTTAAACTGCATTAATTGCTGAATTTTCCTCTCAACAAATCTGGTATATTATTAATAAAGTCCCTTTTATTCCAATCCAAGGAAACTTCAAGCTCATTCATGAGATATTTATTAAAATAACACATTTAGGGAAAAAAATCAATACAATGTATACATCATTACTGAAAACTGTATACCATCATACAAAAAAGGATTTTATTTGGGAAATTGATTCCTAATTTATGGCAAGTTTTACTTTCAGAAATAAAACCACAAAACAACACAATCTAATTCAATCTTAAAGGCTGGCATGCTGAGCAAGGAATGTTCTTATTCTTTGTAGGAGCTCCTTCTTTACACTGTCAGGTACCAGGGCTGAAATATAAAAATAAAGATATAAGAGTAAGAAGATTCTAATTAATATATGTCAAATTGGTATTTGATATTTCATTCAGAATTAACAATAATTTCATGAATAACCCATATGCTTCAAAAAAGAAAGAGAGGTAAAGACATCTGAAAAAATAAAGTATATCTGCAATTCATTATTTGAGTAAATTATCCATCCAATACCTAAATATACTGCACATTGATGAGAAAAAAACATGGGAAAATTCTTTAAACCAGGAGTGGAAAAGGCCTTTTTGAAATACAGAGAGTTATAACAGATGAATAAATCTGATATAAAAGCAACAATGACAATTTAATAAGTTGGTCAAAATCACAATAAACAAAGGCAAAAGACAGAAAGTGGGAAAACACTCTTACAGAAATGGGCTGATCTCTTACTACACAATTTCTCCAATTCATAAGAAAAAGATCAGACTAATAATGACCAAAAAAAGATGAAGAAAAGGTAAAACACAGTTCTTGAACATAAAAGGGGTTTAACTTCATAGCTGAAATGTGCATCAAAACCACATTCAGACAGCATGTTTTACCAATCATGTTGACCAAAATACCAAAGGTCAGTAATATCCCTTGTTGGCAAGACTGAGGGAAAACTGGCTCTCTTATATTAGCTGGTAGAAAACATAAAATCGGTACCACATTTTGAGGAAGATAATTTGGCAATACATATTGAAATATGTGCACATACTCTGACTCAGCAAAAATGCAAAAATTGCAACAGGAGTTACATTTGTGGTATTTTTACTTTTTTAATTTTGAACCATTTGACTATTAAATATTCAGAGTATCACTAAAAAATTAAAAAATTGTAAAAAGCCCTGCTCTTTGGAATTTTAATTAGAGCCTTGCCTTGTAATTTTATATTACAATTAAATATCAATAAACAAACTACACGATTGTTTTTCCTTTCTTGGCTACTAATAAATAAGGACAATAGGAAATTCACTAAAACTTCTAATGCTACTTGTTTGTATCCAAAGGAAATGAAAACTTCAGATACAGTTCAGTAATTGTACACTGAATTCCACAAATAAGTACACAAATTAAGTAAGACACATACTCCTATTTACAGATTGCCTAGTTTAAGCTTGCTAGAAATAAAAGCTACATAATTAATTCAAGACCACTGGAAATGTGATCAGTATGTATATTAAACACACTTAATAAAAATTACGGTGATGGAGTATAGATCAGTTGCCTTGGAGTTAGGGATAAGGTGTGACTATAAAAGGATAGCTTGAGGGAGTTTTTTGGAGGGGAAGAGGGCAATTACATGAATCTGTACATGTGAATAAAATTCATAGAAGTGCACACTAAAAAAAGATCAATTCTATATTTTAGTTAAAAAAATAAAAAATAAAAAAAATAAATACTTCTGGCTATAAAAGGAGACTAAGAACATAAAACATTTATTTTTATTTCTCTGTTCCCTATTTGCCCATTTTCTAGCAGTGGCACTATAAGGGATCGAAATGTCCAAGATATGAGTGTTAAAGGAGAAGCAAAGGAAATTTCTACCCTGTATAACCAGCTCCAAAATGTTAATAGTTGAAGCATAAATTACAGAAGGAAAGAAAAAGAAATCAGATATAATTATTTTAAAATGTAAATTCAGGGACACCTGGGAGGCTCAGTGGTTTGAGCATCTGCCTTTGGCTCAGGGTGTGATCCCGGGGTCCTGAGATTGAGTCCCATATTGAGTTCCCTGCAGGGAACCTGCTTTTCCCTCTGCCTATATCTATGCCTCTGCCCCTCTCTCTCTGTATCTCTCATGAATAAATAAAATCTTAAAAAAAAATGTAAATTCATGCAGGGAGCTATAAATACTGTGTTTTGTTTTTCTATCCCTGAGACATGCTTGATGAAAAAGTCCTGTTTTTTTAGGTGTAAGCAGGCCTACAGATGGCTGGAAAGGACCACGGGATTCTGTAGCTCTTTCCTAGCAAGTAGTTTAGAGAATTAGTATTTTCTTGTAATAATTTTCAAACTTTTTTACACTTGGATTCTTTTTACTACTTCTATGTGAAAAAGAAGTAATGGATCATCTAATTTATCTGCTTCCACTTAAAATTACCAAAAGAAACCCTTCAAAAAATAAAAGAATGTAGCCACAACTAGCTAACAATGTAATGTAATTCCTAACTTAATATTTATTACATATAATCAATGTTAATATAGTATTTCCTCTTTTTCTTTTGTCTTCTGTAAGGAAATGAAGATGATGGTAGTGTGAATTTTAAATATAGGTTACCCTGAATATGAAGTTTTAGAACTACCAAATTCTTAATTTAGACACTTAAGAAGACAGGGCTTTACTTATTTTCAAAAAGAAAAGCAACAGCAGAGCATTGATTCTGGGGCTGGAGTAAAACTTTGAATTATTAAATATTCAAGTGAAATCAGGCCATACTTAATAAAATTTATAAATTCTAGCTTTAGGTAATACTCGCCTCTACAAAATCCCAAACTTTAAAAATTATCTATCTTAACAACCATTATCAACTTACTTTTGTATACTGTTTTAGAGTGCAAAAACATTTTATACCTCTCATCTCATTTATTACTCAAGACTATGCTAGAGAGGCAGGTAGGCAATTATAATCTTTCCCAATGAGTACCCAATAATTTTGGAAAGGTTGTTTTTCCCTGTAAAAAAAAAGAAAAGTTGAACCAGCAAGAGAGAGAAAAAAAATGTCTTCAGCACACGTTTCATTCCGTATAATTCCTTACCTCTGCCTTTTGGTGTGATTTCAGCCACCAAGTCATCAACAGTAACGTGTTCTAGTCCTTTTTCTTTAATTACCTCTTATGCAAAAGCAAAAAACAAATCATATCATTTAAAATCATTATCTGTAAGAAAGATTTTCATAGAGGAAGGGTTAAGATCATGTTTTTAGAGTGCAGACTGGTCTTAAAAAAAAAAAGAGGATACTTCTTTTTTTCTTTTCTAATGAAGATTTAGTTCAACCTTAAACACATTAACTATTCACCAGATCAAAATCTTAAAAGCCTGTTCATCTCTCAGCTAAATAACCTGTAACTTAACAATTTTAACAATTAGAATGAATGTGACTATAAGGTCAAATCTAACATGTGTAAGAAGCTGGAAATCTTTAACTATACATATCTTATTTCACCATAACCATACCACCTGTTGAATATGTATGGAAAGAGGAAAAAGCTATTATTTGAGTCTAACTTGTAATTTCATAGCCCAGAATTAAAGTACAGAATAACTCCTTTTGTTCCTTTCTCTTCTCTAGGCTGGGCCAAAGGAAAGAGAAGAGGGTAAGGAGTTAACATTTACTGAAACGTTATTATGTGCTGGGTGATTAATTAAAAGCATTTGATATTCACAACAATCTAATGGGTTGGGCATTTTTCCACTTACAAGTGACCCAACTGAGTCTTAAAGATTAGATAACTCATCCAAAAGTGAGCTGAAATCCAGCTCTAGTCTTTTCCAGTGAAGGTCTGTATGACCTCAAAATCTATGCTTTTTCTAATTTGCCACACTGCCTTCTTAGGATTGGTAATATAAATATTCTCTATTATCATTAATTGTAGAAACCATGACTATATAATGGGAGTTCATTGAAAATATCCAGAATTCCATTATACCAAAGCCAAGCCAGAAAAGGAGGCTCATCTTCGAGACATGTATAATCTATCCGGCAGCAGCATCAATACCTAGTAATTTAACAAGCTTCTATTCTACATTTTAAAAAAATAAGTAGAATAACCTAAGAGCTTTTCTAAGTAATTTTTTTTAACACTGTAAAGCCAGGAGATATAATTCCTATAGAATCTGCCAATCATAAAGTATTCAATTTGTTATAAAGTTAAAACAGAGGAATAACTAATGTTTACTTTGAATAGGCACACTGAAGAAGGTCGAACGCATACTTTGATGCCAGAAAAAATCTTACCTCACTTGTTTTAAGAAAAATACAATGAAAATTTCTACAGATTTAGGAATTATGTCTTATCAAAAGGAGATGGGGCAATCACTACCAGGAGATTATATTTTGTATTTGTTTAAAATTAGTTAGGCAGTCAATAGATCTTAAAATACTGCCTATTATTTTTCTAATGAACCCCAAGCCAACAAGAACAATAGAATTAGCTTATCTTGTAAATGAAACTGATTACCTTTACAGTGTGCCTTCAACTGGTCCTTCCAGCCACATTCAATTAATTTAGCTCTCAGCAACTCTTTGAGGCTGTTGAAAAAGAAATGTTTTCATATTAAACTACAACAAGGTACAGTATTTTAGACAGGAATGTTTGAAGCAAAAGTTCAAATGTTCAATTAAAAATTGGCTGCCTTCTAATCACAAAAATTTTAACTGTGATCTAATCTTAGTTCTATTACTAAATAATTCTTTGGTCTTACGCAAGTCATTTGAACTCTGGACTTCATTTTCATCATCAGTAAAATTAAGTATGTAGATAGGGCACAATAATTCTCAAGAAACTCTCCACTCTCTGGCCTTCTCATACACTTTCTACTTCCACCAACAGTAATATTATGGGTCTTGTGACAACTTCTAAATAGTATTAGTTGAGCTTGAATTGAAGCAGCACACCTCGAAGGTTTCAAACTCCAAAATCTATTCTTTGACTACAGATTCTTATCCTTTCATTCTCTTACTTCCCCATCATATCCCTTTCTAACCTCAAAAACTTTCCCCTTTTTTCCAATAACCTTCTAAATTATATACTAAATATGGTATTTAATTGACTCTAAGACTGGTTTTTCCCCACATTTCAAAAATTCAGTAATTGGTATGCCTATCACAATTTAATTGGCAGTATCTTTTTTCCTCCAGCTGGTAAAAAAAAAAAAAAAAAAAAAAGAAAGAAAGAAATTAAATGGTGTGTATCGCAACTAATGGCAGAAAAAGGGTGTAACAAAGTATTTTCTTTTCTTGTCCTTTTTCCATGCTCAACTCTTGGAAATCCTTAATCTTCAACCTAAATCACTTCTCAGCATGAACATGTCATGTCCCAAACTAAACCACTTCTCTTTCAATAATATTCCCCCCAAATTCATTATGTGACACTTCTATCTGGGTATTTAATTAGGTCTTTCCACCTTAATAGGGCCAACCCAAATCCTGCCTCTCTCCACCTCAACCTATTCTTCCTTTCAGAATGCCATTGTCCATCCTGGTTCCTCAAGCTAGAAAATTTAGCATCCTTCACTCAGCAACTCTGTTAACACTATACATATAATCCATAGAAGCAATTCCTATTGGTTCTAGTTCTAAGTATACACTACAATCCAAATGTTTTTCATCATCTTTGTTTTTGCTCCCTTAGTCCAAGCCATCTTCTTCTCTTGACTGGACTGTTACCAAAGCCTCTAACTTGTCCTCCTGCTCCCTTCTTTATATACGTTGCTCTCTTTCCTCTTCCCAAAACGGTTTGGTGGCTTCCCAACTTACTTAAAAATTCCAACTCTATGCTACAGCCTAAATAACCCTCCATGATATTCCTCCTCCTCAGCTATGCTTCTGACTTTATCTCTTCTTCCCCTCACCTAATTTATAGAGGGCTCATGAGCCTCCTTGTGGTCCTCAAAATGCCAGGCAAGCTCCTATCTTGGGTTCTTGGCTCTTGGGAGACCCCTCATTCCTTCCTATCTTTGACCTCTTATCAGTGAAACCTTCTTTATTTTTCTCTGCCTCAGATACACATCTCATTATTCTCAGTTTTATTTTTCCTCTAGAACTTATCACTGCCTACATAATACAGACTTATTGTCCATCTTCTCCCATTAGAACGTAAGCTCCATGAAAGAACAGACTTTATTTTGTTCACTACTCCATCTCTAGCACTTTAACAGGACATAGCATATGGCAGAACCTAAGTAATTTTAAATTGTATGAATGAATAAACAACCAATAATAAATAATCCCCTTTATTCATTACTGCCAATACTATATTCTCTCAGTTCCCCAAGGCATTGTTCTGGATGTCGTCTTCCTCATTTCTCACATGGAGGGCTGCTTTTACTTTAACAAATTGTAAGTTCTCCCTTCCATTTTTGCTGTTTTACATTTTTAATTTGATACAATCTAACACATTCTTCTGTAATCGACCTCTAACCCTTCAAGTCTATCTTCCACATTGCCAGCCTAATATTCCTAAAGAGCAAATGAGATTGTAGTCATCCCCTTTCTCAGAATCTTTTAATGACTCCCACCACCCAAGGATAAAGTCAACAACAGATGTTTCTGCAAATCCATCACCCACTTTCCTGACCTTTCTTTGACACCACTTGTAGTGTAAGAAATCTGCATAGGGTTCCAACAATCGAAATGAGTCCTAGGCCAGGTTGACCATAACTGGCCTATGTACCTAAGTAAGATGGTAATCACGCCAGGTACTTTGCTGGAACTACTAGGAGAAAGGTAGTCTGAGCCAGAGGGATATGAATTCTGAACTGCTAATCTTTGCCACCTGGTGGGTAGAGTCTGCTTGAGAATAAAGCCAACACAGAGGAAAACTGAGCTGAGAAAGAAAAAGAAAGACATATACTTGGTAACAATTTTGAGTGCCTGGACCCAGTGGAGACAGATGCAACTTTAAGCCCTAAACTTTGTAGTTAGATGAGCTTATATATTTCCATTGGTTAAGCCAGTTTCTGAGTTCTATCATTTAAAATGAAAGAATTTGGACTTCTACAAAATCCATTCCTCCTGTCCACTGTTCCAGCAACATCACTCTCACACTTTACCTGCTAGCTTTAATTCTGTAGTTCCTCAGAACAGTATGATGTTGTAACACACCTCTGTGACTGCACATTCTGTTCCATCTGTCTAGAACGTCTTCTGTCCTTTATTGGCTGAAAGAACTGCTAATCTTTCTCCCCGAGCTGAAGTACCTCTTTTACTATTTTGTAATTGATTACCTTAACCCCACCATAGAATTCAAAAATCCCTCCAGTTCCTTCTTTGTATTTTTCTTATGCAATTCTTCATCCTGTTTCTGGAAGCCTTTCTTGATTCCTGACTCTCTGTTTAATACTTCCAAACCTGTTCATTCTTCAAATATTTATTTGGCTAATTATGTGCTAGGGATGATGCTTAGGGATACACCGGTATTTCTACTGTCAAGGACCTAGATTATATTGAAGGACACAAACAAGCAAAGCAAGTGGATATAATACAATGTGATTAAATGCTGAGATAGAACAAGGTATCTGGGACTAAATAGATTCCTAGAAGAGGTGATGTTTAAACTAAAACCTGAAAGATGAAGTAGACGAAAAGATCAGGGAAGACGAATGTTTCAGGGAGTAGGAACACCACACACGCTGCTCTGAGGTTAAGAGTGTAGTAACTGAACTGGTTCTACCATATTTTCTCCCTGTTAAAACTGGGTACCATTATGTTTTTAATTGCAGTTATTTGGGTATTTTTTCTTTTCTATTAGATTATACATTCTTTGAGAAAGAGTCATTTCTTGTTCACCTTTCTAGATGACTCACTTTCCTTTAAGTAATGAAATACTGAGCAGACCTGTTTTTTTAGAAGTTAGGAATTGAAACTTCTGATAATCTCTATTTGCTGTAATTCCTTCCACTGACATCAGTTTTGTTCCTTGATATTTAGACTCTTATTACATATAACATAACTATAATTTAAAGATGTTAAATGTCATTTATTAACACAATCTCTTGCTTACCGTTCTCTTTCTCCAGTTTCTATCAACTTTTGGTTAATCGCTGCTCTCATCTGCGCATCTTTGTTCATCTTGCTAACCTGAACATCAACATGTATTTTCAGATACAGAACACATAAAAAGCATTTTCTTCTAAACCCTCTAGGTAAGCATCCTAATATACTTAACATCCTATCAACTGAGGGGGTGATAAATTTCAACAGTGTGTTAAAAATGTCATTACTCTTAATATTGGTCACTGCATCCCAAGAAGTCATACTGATTAATTCACTTTACAATTTTCCTCCGCCATATACCCTTTATTAATGAGTCTTTGGATAATGATATTTATCGTATCATTTATGCAATACTTATGTGCCCGGTATTGGGCTAACACAGGGGTTGGGTTTTTTTTCCTCCATTTAATTCCCAAAACTTATTCTTTCATGTAAGAATTATTAACACAATTCGTATTTTACAATTGAGAAAACTGAGGCACCAAGATAGCAAGTGGTGAGGACAGGATTTGAACTCATGTACTTTGAGCCCAGCAGTCTCAACACACTTTTAACAGCACATCGTAACTGCTTATCATTCCTGCACCTTAACTGCATTCAAAATTTCGGGGAAGCCATATAACCTAGAGAGTAATTCAAGATTAAGCACTGTTGGTGAAAAATGAAATTTCCAGATTAGGTTCAAAGTGCTTTACTTTTTTTTTTTTTTTTTTCTGTAGGGTGTGCCCAGAATTCTACAACTGCCAAACTAACTCTGCGTATGTGCTTGTGTGTGCTCTTCATCGAAGCTTGCTGGTGGAATAAAGGGAAAAACAAATCTCAAACTAACTCCTAATTTAGAAAACTCTCAATTTTCAGTGAAAAAAGACAACCAAAATCAAAGTGACGTAGAAAGGAGAGGAAGGTTAGAATGTAACAGCTGCAACAAGCTAACATTACTGCAGATAATTTGTCACTAACTTGGGACCACTTTTGCTGTGTCCCGTCTCGCCTATATGAAAACTCAAGACTGGCAACTGAGTTTTGAGTTGGGAAAAAAAAAAATTTTTTTTTGAGTGCAACAGGAAAAAGGAAGGGTCGAGAAAGGGCTGAGAAATGTTTGCTTGTAGCTGGAGGCTAACGTTTTCAAAATAATTCTAATGTCTAATCGGTACCATTCCTAGAATATTGAACCTGATCTCGCCTTGGCCCCTAAAATACGGATAGTGACCTTGGGCAAGTCAATTCTTAAAAGGCCTCAGTTTTCTCACTGGTAAAACGAGGGCGCTAGGGGATCCCTCCCAGTTCAGACATTCTTTGGGAAAATAGAATAGGGCGGAGACAGCGGGAGAGGCGGGAGGGGAGGAGCCAGAAAACAAAGCGTGGACTGGCTTCAGGCCAACTCCGGTTGCACGCCCTGTCGGAGAGCCCTACAGGCCCGCGAGCGCGGGTCGGGGAAGCTAACGAAAGACAGCACATCGAAAGGAGCCTGGGCTGGGCCCGGGTCCCGGCCCTGAGGACCACGGGCATAGCTCACCACCATCACCGCGGGCGAGGGCCGTCCCTTCCCAGCGACGAAATGACCCTTGCGCTGACGACCGTTACCTACCACACTCTTCGGCTGCCCGGACCTAGACCCTCAGTAGCTCGGGCACCTAAGCACACAGAAAGCTAAAACACGCATTTCCGGGGCGGGGTCTCGCTCCCCTGCCTATAAATGTGAGAATTTAACCAGCGCGGGCCGCCTCCTGGTAGCTCAGCCCTCTGGGTAAGAGAGTCCAGCCCACGCTGTCGCTGGGGCGTTAGGGCTCCAAAAAACTACATAGCCCGACATGCAACAGAGTCGACTTTCCCTTGGACACTACATTTCCCAGAAGGCATCCCGCACCGCGCAGTGTTTTCTGGGATGGGAACCACGCCGCCTGCGAGCCTCGGCGCTACGAGCGAAGCGCGGACCTTTCAACAAGAGCTTTATTAATTCTCTCGCTGCGACCCAGGAAGGCTATGGAGGTGGCCGCTAATTGCTCTCTGCGCGTGAAGAGACCTCTGCTGGATCCCCGTTTCGAGGGTTACAAGCTCTCCCTCGAGCCTCTGCCCTGTTACCAGCTGGAGCTTGACGCAGGTGGGAAGCGGCGGCGCCCCCTGGCACTCTAGTTCTTCCCCTTTCGGCTGCCAGCGGCCGGACCCTTCCCTCATTTTCTTCCTTCCTGATTTGGGCGAGCAAGGCGTCCGGGGCCTTCCGTCCGGCCGGTCGGGCTGGGGTGGACCCGGATGGGCCGCTTCTGGAGACCGACGCCCATCCCGGAACCCAGTGGGAGTCTCCCGCGCGGCTCTTAGGTAGCTAGACCCTGGGCGGGCCCGGGCTCCAAGGTCCGTCCTGCGGCTCGCGGCGCTGCCTGGGCCCCGGCCGCCTGTCGGTCCCTGGCCTGGGCTGCTGCGGAGAAGGCTCAGGCAGGACTTGCTTTCGCTCTCGAGCATCCTCTGTAACCGTGTGCGTTGAGAGGCCACGCCTCCTCGGAGGGCCCCCAGCTCGGGTTTCCTCTAGCGGAGCCCCACGTCACAGAAGAGGAACTCCGATGCAGTTCAGAGCATTTTCAGTTGCCCAGGTGCTGTCAGACTAAAGGCATTATGGTAGACAACATCTCTAGAAGATTTTGAGGACAAGTTGATTTAGTACCTACACTTCTGCTATTTTGTGTATCTGAGGCTAGCCGAAACCAATTCACCCTTGTTTTTACGAGGTATAATAAGCGTTTTAGTTGAGGAGCCCACAGATTTGCGTTTTTAATACACACCTCTACTGGTGTTGACGCATGTTGTGAGTGGATCACACATTGAGAAATACTGATCTAAAGAACTTTGTCAAATAAGTGTTTATAAAGTTTGTAAACATCTATTGAGAGCCTGTTTCATGTTTACAAGCTGATATCAAGATGAATAAGATACAGTCTGTAGGGATCCCCGGGTGGCTCAGCGGTTTAGCACCTGCCTTCGGCTCAGGGCGTGAACCCGGAGACCCGGGATCGAGTCCCACATCCGGCTCCCTGCATGGAGCCTGCTTCTCTCTCTGCCTTTGTCTCTGCCTCTCTCTCTCTCTCTCTCTCTCTCTCTCTCTCTCTCTCTCTGACTCTCATGAATAAATAAATAAAATCTTTAAAAAAAAAATAAAAGGTAACATAAAAGTGCAGTTTGGCTACTTGGAAAGAAAAATATAAACATAATTACAAAACTGTGATAAGGCAGTGATTGGGTTATGTACAGACCGTAATGGTAGTGGTAATGGTAGTGCTTACGTATCTTTGCAGACCTGCCTGGGGATCTGGGAAAGCTTCCTGGAGCTGATATCTTAAGTTGGGTTCTGAAGGATAGGTAAGAGTTCACCGGGGTAAGCTAAAAGGAGCTTGGTTTTTCATCCCTTCCTTTCTTTCTTCCACCTCATGTCAGTAAATGGTACCACTATGTTTAGTTTATGCATTAAAAAAAGCAACCCCAAACTCAGTGGCTCAAAACGGTAGGCAATTATTGTTGCTCACAAGACTGCAAGTCGGGTAGGTGTTTCTTCTAGTGTTGGCTTGGACTCATTCTTGTGTCTTTGTTCAGTTATGCATCTGCTTGATGGCTCTCCTCATCTTGGCTATACTTCCTCACAAATTTGGAGGTTATCTGGCTACAGACTAGTATAAAATTATTTCAGATGCTTTTGCTTAGCTCTTCTCCGTGTGATCTCTCATTAGCCCAGGCTTAATCCAAGAGAAAAGTAGCAGCACACAGGCATTTTTTCAAGCTACTGCCTGGAATAAGTTTGCTGTTGTCCCATTTTTCCAAACAAGTCATATAAGCAAGCTTTAAGGTCAGTATATAGCAAGCTCATAGCAAAGGGCATAGATTCAGGGAGGCATAAAAATTGGGACTATTAGAGCAAGTATATATATATATAGTTGCTTATGTTGGAGTCATGAAGTATTTCTTCTTTTAGTCCCTCTGTTCAGTCTGTCAGCAATATAGTCAGCTCAAGGTTTGACTTCTTGCCTCTATCCTTCTCCAAATCCGTTATATCTTACCTGAACTATAGTTTATTGACTAGCTTTCCCACCATTCCCTTCTCCTTCCTTCCATTCTCTGTAAAGTAGTATCATCCTAGTTTTTAATTTTCTATTTATTTGGTATCCTGTTTCCTCTACTAGACTGTGAGCTCCCTAGTATCAGTAAAATTTTCTTTTGTTCACTACTCTGTCCCTAGTGCTTAGCATTGTAGGTGCTCAATAAATTGAGTGAATGAAGAAGAGAAGGAGTTGTTATTGAGGTCATTCCATTCCTTAGAAAGCAAGAGCAATGGAAAAGGGTAAGTTGTGTGTAGGACACTGATGCAGCCCTGTGTAGCTGGAGCAAAAAAATCTGGAGAAGTAGAGACCACTTAGAAAAATAGGTGAGGGCACTGTTTGTCTTGTGGACTTTATCCACACATCTGGGGAGTAAGTCACTGTTTCCCAGACATTTTCTTGGGCCCTAATGTTTAAAAAATAAAGCTCAGCTGTCAAAGATTTGCCAACTTTTTAATTTGCTAAGGGGAGATGTTTCTTTTTTTGTTTGTTTGTTTCAAGTTTATACTGAAATTCTATTTAGTTAATATATAGCGTAATACTGGTTTCAGGAATAGAATTTAGTGATTCATTACTTATTATAATGCCCGGGTCACATCATAGGTGCTATCAGTGCCCATCACCCATATAACCCATCCTCTGAACACCTCTCTTCCAGCAACCCTCAATTTGTTCTTTATAGTTAAGATTCTCTTATGGTTTGCCTCCCTCTTTTTCCCCCTTCTCCTATGTTCATGTTTTGTTTTTTAAATTCACCACATGAGTGAAATCATGTGGTATTTGTCTTGCTATGACTGACTCCTTTCACTTAGCATGATACACTCTAGTTCCTAAGTGGAGATGTTTCTTAAAAACTGATGTCCTCACCCATTCTTTCATAAACAAAAGGATATTTTAACATCAAAAAAGCAGAGAGCAAATTCTCACAATAGTCCTCTAAAATGCATTAGCTTTATTAACTACTCACTAAATGGTCCTTGGTCTCTCCTCTTTTCACCATTGTTGGTTTTGGAGTCTGTGTTTGCGATGTACAGTTGGAGGTGATGAGGTCCCATTTAGGGTTTTAAGTATAGAAAAGAAAGAGATTTAGAGATTGAATGGTTTAATTTTAGATTCTGTGGAGACTGAATTTGGAAGATTGGAGGAGAAGGACCAGGGAGACCAGTTTGGAGGCTTTTGCAGTCCTTCGTGTGAGGGGCTTGCATTAAGAATTACTACTTGAGGAGGAGGATGGAGAGCTTAATTCTTTTAAAAACTCTTTTCTAGAAATAGTGAAGTATGATTGAGGAGCTCCTCTTGGCAACTTGGTTTCTTTTATGCTCCCTAAGGAGTTTACATTAATTCACCAAGATGTTAGTGACTGGTGTGTGAAGCTGTGCATTTAGGATGTGAGGATGAAGATGTGCTCTGGTTTCAAAAATCTTGGAGTACTGGTCTATTTTTATTCTCTTGTTTTAAATAATGTTAGTAAATTGTTCTAAAGTTCCCTTTGCTACATAAACCATAACTGTCAGTCTGTGTATTCCAAAAAAATTAAGCAAACAACTCCCTTTTTTATAAAATTGTGATTGTTCTTTGACCCAGCAATTCTAGTTCTGGGCATTTACCTTATACAGATCTTCCTTGACTTACGATGGAGTAATGTACAGACAAACACATCTTAAATTGAAAAATGCATTTAATACATCTAATCTACATAACATCATAGCTTAGCCTAGCCTACCTTAAATGTGCTCACAACACTTGTACTAACCTACAGTTGGGCAAAATCATCTAACACAAAGCCTAATTTATAATAGAATGTTGAATGTCATGTAACTTATTGAATACAAAGTGAAAACCAGAATGGTTGTATGGGTACGGAATGGTTGTATGGGTACGGAAAGTGAATGAGCTGTTTACCTTCATGATCAGTCACGTGCCTGCCTGGGAGTTGTACCTTGCTGCCATGGCCCAGCATCACCAGAATATCCTACTGTAATATTGCTAGCTTGGGGAAAAATTCAGAGTGCAGTTTCCACTTTTACATCCTTGCAAAGTTGAAAAATCCTAAATTGAACCATTTTAAGTTGGGGACTGTCTGTACATGTTTTTTTCCTTGAGTCTTCATTCTGTAAATGTCTTTGTATATGTTTTCCCCTTACATTTCACCTAGCTAACTCATACTCCATTCATTCATCTTGGTTTACATGCTACTTATCCAGAGATTCCTTTCTGGACTATCTAGTTAGAATCTATACTACAGAATCTGTTTAAATTAGAATCTGTAGTCTGTTTTCCTATTATACCTGATCATAGACTTTATCATACATTGTAGCATTCAATGTCTGTTTTCTCTTTTAAGATTATTGGTTTTGTTAGCGATGGTTCTAATGTCCATATTTAAGTGCTTTACTTTGAAAGGGCTGGAGCATGCCTGGTGATTAATAAGTGATTTTATATCACACATATTAAATAGGCTTATTAGGATAATTGATAATAAACTACATGTATTTAAGTGTACAGGTTGGCAAGTTTTAAAATATATACACACTACTCCTGAAGTCCTCATCATAATCAAGATATTAAACTTTGTTTTC